TTTATAAGCCCATTCGGTGTTTTAGCTGCGGCGGAATTCTTCGGAACGGTTCCGACGGTTTGGAACGGTTCCTACCTGTTTGGCGGTGTTGCTGACAATGGTTCCGGAGATTTCCCCAATAGTTCCTGAGAGCTTGAACGTGGTTCCACAGCCCCTCATTGCACTCACAGGCAAACAGACCCCTAAACCCAAAACCCTAAACCGTCACCAGTAGCTCCAAGCTTGACCTGTAAAACGATACAGGACGCTCAGAGAAGGCTACCCTGCAAGCACTGTAAAACGACACGGTGTGCTCTAATCCAAAGACATGTCAGGCACATCCAAAGAGTTTTGACGCCAGCTCATATACATTTCAGCACTGCAGGCGTGAGCTTCGTGCAGAGGCGCCCGGTTTCGTTCCGTGCATCTGCCGATGCACCTCTTCTTTCAATTCAAGCCTTCAAGTAGCTTTGTGCTCGGATGCACATACCTGCTTGACACGTGGCAGCTGTGCTCATGTTACCGACGGTTTTGGATGGAACTTGCACCCGTTCTGCACGAGCCGCCGTGAGGCACCGTTGCACACGCCTGCTCATGCTTGGCCGAGCTCGAGCTCTCCTAAAAAAATAGAAAAAGACCGCAAGGCTTCGTCGAAGTCCCTCTGATTTTCGGAGCTCGCGTGGCACGGGAGCTCCTTTCTGAAGAACTGGCGAGGGCACCGGAGTCGGCGAGCCGCAACTGTCACTGTGTCACGTTGTGCTGCGACTCTCACTGTGTCACGTTGTGCTGTGCCCAACTACACCGGCATCCATGTGCCGTCCGGCATACATGCATGTGCCGTCCGGCACTCATGCCGCATCCAGGACAGGCCATGAACAAAGCATGTGTTCGACTGTGGCTCTACGCTTCATGGTCCAGGAATGTCTTTCCAAGCCTCTGTGTGCCAGGCCTTCGAGAAGGAGAGCTGCTGGTAGAGCTGCGACTCCGGCAATTTTCGGCTGCGCATCTCAAAGGCACACGCTTGCTCTCTTCTGTGCTTACAGGGCTGAGTCCGACGCCCCTCTTCTTCTAGCTCTTGTCCCTGGCAGCATGTACTGCAAACAGGGGTCCGGCTTCGCCCTTGGGCGTTGTTGCCGCTGGCACTGTCTCACTGCTACTACTCTATGGAGACCCTACCTTCAAATACCTGCGTGCCTGGCCTCTGCATGGGACATCCTTGCCATTGGTGGCCCTGCCTCACGCCGTTGGGAATGCCGATGCAGGCTCGGGCTATCTAGGGCTCTGCGCGCTGGTGCACCCGGTGCTGCTCGGGAAGGCAGCACAGTCGCTCCCTCAACGTTCCACCTGTCCGCTGACGGTATCAAGTTCCGAGCGGCTTTACAACGAAAGGCCGCAGGTTTTTCCGACAGGAACCCAGGCACATGACTAGTCACTAGTCATACGCAGAGGAAGGCGCGTCGTTTGAAACTTCACCTTGATCCTCCGCTGAAGTCTTGGAGGAAGCTTGCCGGCACTCCATTTAGACCACAGCCGGTCTGGAGAGTATGCCGTGTCTGAGATGCCACAGACCGGCACTTGCTCGTTCGGCGGCACACAGGAGACGGATGGACGACGTGGGAGTGCAGTGCCACCGCTTTGAGTTGCCGAGGTGGTCCGAGCATCTGGTGAGGAGCTGCGCTCTGATTGGGAGCTAGGATTCGGGGGACCCTTGGATCTAGTCCCTCTCAATAAGGTCCCTTTCAAGAGAGCCAAAAGTAGGGTTCAGAAGGGGTGCCCCTAATAATGCTACCCACTCATTTAGCAATTTTATGCTGGGCTTTCCTTGACGATCCTACGATGTTTAAAACCAAGCTCCAGGCGCGCGAGAGCGCTGAGCGCAGAGCGCTGCAGGCTCGAAGCCGAGGCTGTTCTTATATGAGGCCGCACTCTGCACTGCAGATGACTACGGATCTACTGTAAACCCCTCAAAGCCCCAGATGACTACCAGGAGAACTGGTTTTCAGCTTCAGAAGATGAGTTGGTAGCTATGCTGATAATGAGAATCCTGCCGGATTGATCCTCGGTTTCCGCTTGGCTACGTGGCAAAAGCAAGCCATGCCGGCTGTGTGGTGAGGCGGGGTCGGTCGGTTTTGCGCCATGAGACGAGTCAAAGCCCCAGCTGCGCTGCAAGTGCGCCGAACTCTCAGAGCCGTTGCGGCGCAGCCATGCGGAGGTCCAAGTCCAAGGAGCCTTCGTAGCATTGGGTTTCAGAATATTTGGGCGCAGCCATGTCGCTCTAAAAAGAACCGCCCTCCCTGAGTCAAGATCAGGTCGACATGGCCTGACTACCGCAGCTCAGCGTGTCTCAGCTCTCAAGCTCTCAAAAAGGCGCAGAGGAGGACAGGCTTCTCTGCCGTGCCCACCCGTGATGCGCTGCGTTAAGGTGTCTTCGGCATGTCTCCAGAGCTGGACTCGTGCAGGCGAATCCGCGAAGTATGTTCCGTGTGCCAAAGTGCACTGACTGCATTGACGTTCCCATCGGTTGGGCTTCAAGTTTGCTGCTGTAGTGGCTCTAGCATCACGGCGATGAAGCGAAAAGCATACTTGACTCCTGCTTTATGCCTTTGCCTCTGCCATCTGCTTCGGACGAACATGGACGAATATCTTGGGGTCAGCAGATCAGAACCGCTCATGTGAGGATCTAAGCCAGGAGGCACAGAAGCTCTCTCCAAATGGAAAGCACCACCGGAACTCCAAAAATCTTAGCCTTGCAGCCTCCGTGGTTGAGGGTTTAAGGTTCAGGGCCTGAGCCCGAAATGTTAATCCCCTCAATCTGCAGCCCGGGCTCAAGCAACCCGGGCTGTTCTTGTCAAAGAACATCGTTTCGTCGACCAGCCGACCATGGTTGGAATGCAGCTCGGTTTAGATCCTAAGGTTTCGGGCTTCCAGTGTTATAGCATATGCTCGTTTCTTATATCTATATATATATATATATACATATATATATATATGTACGTACATACCTGTTTTTCTTTTGTGGTAGGGGTGGGGGGGCGTGATTCTTTTGATTATTTCACTGGCTTCTATGTTGACTGTTATTTCGTGAAGCCGCGAAGATCGTGGATGTCTCCCGTTCCGGCTTTGGAGCTTGGGGGTTCAGGCGTCTGGCTTGGTTTAGGGTTTAGGGTTTAGGGTTTAGGGTTTAGGGTTTAGGGTTTAGGGTTTAGGGTTTAGACCCCTAAACCCGAAACCCCAAACCCCAAACCCTCAGGGTTGAAGATGTGCTTTTGGCCTTCTGTGGCTTCGAGGTTAAAGGGTCTTCAAGGTGCCAAAAGAAGGATCCCTGCGATACCACCGATAAAAGGGGAGGATAATCATTAACACGAAAGCCTTCAGATCAAGCGTATGGCATTTCCGGGTAGCGAAGCGCTGACGCGCCCCTGGGTGTTCTTGTTAGCTAGACCACGTGCAGTGATGTTTTTTCGGAGATCGGGAGACTTACTGACAGATTGTATTACGGTAGTTATATCTGATGTATTCTGATGTTAGTGTAATGCCGCAGCATTTGTCCCTATATCTCCACCCAAACTGAAAACGGCACGGCGTTGCAAAGCATCAAGGTACCGGATCACGATAAGCAGATTTTCATGGCACATTAAGTGTTGGCGGCGCTTCAAGCCAAAACCTCAGCGGAACCGATCAAGGAAGTTTCTCCTGGCCTTGCAGCTCGCAAGTGCTGTGAAGTTTCGGGCCGTCAGCAACAGCACCCTGGCCACGTCTTGCTTTGGGGTCCTAAACCCCAAACCCAAAACACTAAACAATAACCCCTAAACCGTATAAACCCTAAACCCTAAGAATCAATAACACCCGAACACCCTAACACCCTAACACCCTAAATCCAAAATCCCATAGTCTACCTGGACCCCGAAGAACCCACCTTCTCAGGGTTCCTTATTATGATTTCTTTACATAAAAATCTTTAAAGCCGTAGGTTATTTGGGGTTAAGGTAGACCCTAAACCCTGAACCCTAACACCCTAACGCCCTAACACGCTAACACCCTAACACCCTAACACCCCAACACCCTAAACCCTAAACCCTAAACCCTAACACCCTAAACCCTATAAGCCCCACAATCTAGACCCTCGCGCCGATTGTATGGTCCCAGGGTTTTGGGGCTCTCGGAACCGAAGTCCCAACCCTAAACCCTAAACCCTAAACCCAAAACCCTAAACCCATCGACGGGTTCAGGGTCCGAGGCTGCGAAGTCACTCCGACCATGAAATGGCCTTCTGGGGGTTTAGGGTTTAGGGTTTAGGGTTTAGGGTTTAGGGGTTCCGGGTTTAGGGGTTCCGGGTTTAGGGTTTAGGGTTTAGGTTTTAGGGGTTCAGGGTTTAGGGGTTCCGAGTTTAGGGTTTAGGGTTTAGGGTTTAGGGGTTCAGGGTTTAGGGGTTCCGGGTTTAGGTTCAGGGTTTAGGGTTAAGGGGTTCAGGGTTTAGGGGTTCCGGGTTTAGGTTCAGGGTTTAGGGTTTAGGGGTTCAGGGTTTAGGGGTTCCGGGTTTGGGGTCAGGGTTTAGGGTTTAGGGGTTCAGGGTTTAGGGGTTCCGGGTTTAGGTTCAGGGTTCGGGGTTTAGGGGTTCAGGGTTTAGGGTTCCGGGTTTAGGGTTTAGGGTTTAGGGTTTAGGGGTTCAGGGTTTAGGGGTTCCGGGTTTAGGTTCAGGGTTTAGGGTTTAGGGGTTCAGGGCTTAGGGGTTCCGGGTTTAGGTTCAGG